GAGAGAACTTGTGACTGACCTAAGGTCACACCAGCAGCCGCAAGTGGAGGAGTGGGGAGTCAAACCCAGTTCTCCCAGATTAGAGTCCGCGCACTTAACCACTACACCAAACTGGAAGATACGAAAGATATGGAGAGGTGACACACAGCGGGTTTTGGCAGCATTCCTTTGGGTGAGGAGAGACTGGGCAAGCGTGGGGGTGGTCGGGACTCACCTTTTGCCACACTTCATCTGTCCGCTCGGGAGTGTTGCGATAGGCTGCAGTGATGTCGCTCATGGGGAAGGACATGAACTTGAGGGTATAGTTGCTGCAGGGGGAGAAGCAGGCATGAGAGGCCGCATCAAAGACAATCCTTTGCCCACAGCTGAGGCTGCTTTTATAAGGGGAGCAGGAGGCCCAAGAGGTGGGTAACGATAGCCTAATGGCCCATTATGTATGGAAAAGCGAGGAGTCATTTCCTTCCGGAGCACCACGGAGCAGCACTCCGGCAGCAAGGAGCCCAGGCCCCACCCCCAGAGAGACTCAAGGAGGGGGGATTTAAACGCCCTGGGTTCCCTGCCCGATCTTCTCCAGGTGCCACGGCGGGTTCGCTGGAGACAAGGGAAGGACAAGGAGACAGACATGCCTGCCTTTCCCCCTGAGCCTCTCCACTTTTGTGGAGGGGGGGGATTTAAACTCATTTGCATATGCCTCTTAACTCATTTTAAACATGCCTGCCCTTTGTCAGGGGGTGTGGCATATGTAAATGAGTTATGCAAATGAGCTGCTGCACCTTTTTTTTCTAGGAAATGACCCCTGGGAAAAGCTATTCTTGGTGCGGGCAGTGAAGAGGTGGGGAGCAGGGATTTCTTAGCCCTCTTGCTGCCTGCCATTTCTTCCCTCTGAATCCCCCCCACCATGTGAAATCGGGACTTTGAATGTGCGTTTCCACTCTTTTTGGGGTGGGGGACAATTTGGTACAAAGGTCTCATCCTCTCACCTCCCCACCCCAAATTACCCTACCAGAAATGGCTTTTCTTCATTTCAAGGATTCATTGGGCTACCAGCGCACATAATCCTTCCGTTCACTCTTCTCTCTCGCACGCACACAAAGAAGGAGGCACGTTGCTCTCCAACTTTGGTACCACGGAAGCATCTGCGTCCACTGTAGGTAGTTTAGTTAGATTCTATCTCTATCTCTCACCTTTACTATCTATAATGGAGTTCCCCAAATAAAGAACTCTTTATTAGTTTGAAACTGACAAGTGGCTCTGTGTAGCTCTGCTGTGTATAGCCTTAGAGCACTCTCCCTACAACAGAACATAGATTCCCAGCTTACCATAACTGTGAATCTAACTATCATCCATCACCAAACAGTCCACATATTTCACTCAAGAAACATCGGCAACGGTGTCCATCGAGGGACACCTCCCAAGTCACTCACTTCTCCAAAGCCCGGGCAATGTCTTGGAAGCCTTGTGCGGTTGTGTTGTTCCTGTCCCAGGAGATACTCCTAGACAACAGAAAGAAGCACTCTGCATGTAGTCATCCCTTCCCATTCACTAGTTAGGAAGCCCTCACTCGTGGTCAGAGACACGGCGGCTCGTCAAGCAGTGGCAAGCAGGGATACGTACGCCATCACTGCCCTGGCCTCACCAGAAGGCTTCTGGGAATTGACGTCGGAGGGAAATAGATCACTTGAATGCTGGGACCCCCAATCCCTCTGCCTTTTGTGATGGCCCACTTAGCCCCCCCCGCCCCATAATTTGGGCACCGG